TGTTAGGGTCAGGTAGATTTACACACTCCTGATTTGAGATGAACTACATATCCCCTATATGCATTTAGTACGTGGGAATCCATGAACATTTCCTATTTGCGTAAGATTGAGTACGTTATATACGTACCAATCTCACCACCACAGCATACATTGATGGGTACACATAGGAAACTAGGAATCATTGTGAGATTTCAATCTCCGTCAATTGTTAAGTATTTAGATCTCTTATGGAGGATCTATTTATGACCCGTATGCTGGTTTTATTTTGACAATGAGCATTTCTAGGCATTAGGGGGAGATTTGATGTACCATACATAATGCCAAGAAATTATTTGGAATGCATAAGACATTTCAAGCTTAGGATCATGTACTAAATGAACTGAATTTTGAGTTCAAAGAATTATTGATTTGCATAATATTGCAAATAAACTGCCAAATGCATTTATTGATTACTAAGGTTGTGTTTTAAACTTGTTAATCCTTTGCAAGTATGTGCCAGAAAGAGTGGTGGTACCAAGTAAACCCACTCAACTCCTAATTGTAAATAAGACGGGGAGAAGTATGGCCATAAAGTAGGATTATTCATGCTAGCAATAGAAGATTTCCTTCTAAAGAAGTAAATGCAGGTCAACCTATGGTGGGTGACACCTTTTGGGTAAATATTAGTTATTACCCAGTGGATGGATATCATCCACAAACCTAGCTTAGATGTGCACCTAAATATTGATGCTGGGATATCAGAAAGCCCTGACTCCCGTTTCTGTAAGTCACGATGAGTCATTCAGGGTACTTTGAGTTTTGATAACCAGAGAATTATATCATAGAAAGGCTACATGTGTCGACACGTACTTCTCTAAATAAACTGTATACAATATTCCAAGTCATCCAGTCAATAAGACCATGGTAGAGTGCTTTGCTCACTCTTACTGGAACTTATTGAGTGATATAATACATGCAGAGATAGTCTTGCTCACCAGAAAAGAGGTGTTTTGGGCTGTGATGCCAACACCTCATGGTACCTTTACTGTGGGTACAAAAGTGTTTTCGTCCTAGAATGGATTGAGAACAATGTAGTGATGAGATCAAAGCAAGACTAGTAGCACAAGGGGTTTACGCAAAGTCCATGCATTGATTTTCAACGCAAATTATTCTCCATAGTAAGTTATAAATTTCTGATACTATCTTTTGATTGGCAGTACAAAAGCATATATCTTTCAGTTGATAATTGATAGATGTAGTGATTGCATATATTTATATGATCACATGATTTGGTGTATTTGTGAAGCTTCCAGGAAGGAGTTCACATACCCAACTCTCATACATAAAATCGCAACACATATTGTGTATTGCTTAAGTCAATATATGGCTTAAAGCAATTAAGTTGAATTTGGTACAATCGACTTTGTGTGTATTCCTTAAACTAAAGGGATACGAGATTGATTACACATGGTGTTCATTCTAAAGTCCTTAATTGGATTTTATAGTGCTACATGATAGTCAATAATCTTGACTCATTGGTGATGAACACATGTCAATAGCACGTTATAAGACGGAGTTTGAGATGGAAGATACGGACTAAACCAAAATTTTATTTTGTGTTTATGATCCAAGCATCTTCTCTCAGAATTTTATACAAAACCTATCTATATCCAGATCATATTGAGTGATTCAATATGAAGGTATCCTATGGTTGTTCTACCTCATGATAGAGAAAGATTGTTTTATGCCATAGTGACCGAGATGAGTTATTGGGATATGTGGTCCATTATCTCTGTACTATTTATGCACTAATAAATCTTGCAAAAGTTTCTGGCCGATATTACTTTTTTTGCAATGATTTGCTATCTAGTAGCAGCGCTACTCCTACCAAATATTGGTTGGTTGAAGTTAAGAATATCTTTTGATATCTCAAATAGCACATGTGGTCTTGGTGTAATCCATGATCTAATTATGTGGATATAATGATTCTGGTTATCTATAAGATTCCCAAATTTCAGATCATTAAAATATGCTTTACATGAATATGGAAAAGACAATTTTGTGATAGTCTTTAAATAGAAATTTAATGGTCAATTTCATTAATCATTCTGACATTGTATTGTATAAGGCTTCACATGAATGTGTATAGCTTGACAGAATGATATATCACATACTGAAGTTATGTGGTGTTGATTCTATGAACCAATGGTCATTATCTATAAAGGTAATGCAACTTGTGTTACGTAGATGGAGACAAGTTATACTTAATGCAATATTTTGCACTAAGATGGTTCTGTTCTATAGGTGATATGGGCATATGAACATTTACAAACTAAGTCATGTGATAATCTTGCGAAGATATTCACAGAATCTACCATACTCCACATTTCTTATGTGTTGAGTGCATTGGTATGAATTTACTTCGAGGTTTGCTAGTATTAGGGGGTATTAGGGGGAGAGTCTATCTGATTAATAAGTTGTTGCAAACATCATATTGCACTCTTTTCTTTGTATGAGTTTTCCCTCAGGGGTTTCTCATATAAAGTTTTTAATGAGGCAATATCAACTCAAGATTATGTTATATTATCCATTTTCCCCCATATGGGTTTTTTGTGGATGATATTGGAACGTAAAATGCATTGTACTCTTTTCTTTATGTGAGTTTTTCTTTTTGAGGTTTCTCATATAAAGTTTTTAATGAGGCAATGTCAACACAAAGGTATATGATATATCATCTATTCCCCCCCCCTTTTTTAAGATGATATTTGACGCATATTGACCATATGGTCAAGGTGTTTTTAGACTAAGGTTTTGGGTTTAACTCAAATGGTCTAATAACATTGGTGATTGTATATCATGGTGTTTCTCCTTATTTTTCTCACTGGGTTTTAAGAAGTTTTGCCTGGTATACCAGTATTACTTTGGTTTTTCCCATAGGATTTTCCAAAGATTCATAAAGATGCATAATAGATGAACAGTAAAGACTATAAGGAGCTAATTGATCAAGGAGGAGTATTGAGAATTATTATTTAGTGCTCAAGGATTATTCCAAGGGGTGTCTTTTCACCCCCTCTCTCTCTTTCACCTTGTAACCGTCCACATGGGCCGTATATATATATGTACACACTGTTCATTGGGAATACAACAGAGAATCATTTGCATCGCTCGATCTCTCTCGTTCTCTATTTTCTAACAGGGAGCAGCCAGGGGCTAGGAGCGTCCACGCAAGTATTGGGCTGGGAAAAAGAAAGGATGTGAGTTGGGTCTGGCAGGCAGCTAGGGGCTTATAGCTGGCTGCCAGACCCAACTCATGACCTAGAGCTAGTACATCAGAAAGTTGTTGTTCCAGTTGTGGGAAGCTCTAGGTCATGAGTTCGACTCCCCACCTCCGCATGCGCAAGTTTGCGCATTGTAAAAAATTTCACTCGTCTGTCCCACGCCAAAGCACAGGTCTAATGTATGACCTAGTCTCACATGGTCTGTGATGCCATTGAGTTAAGCGGAGGTTCAAGGGTTTTCTCGATCTACGAGAGAAGGTCTTCTTCCTAAGCACAATGCTCACGATACACTCATACCCCCGTGGGTCAAGTTTTTTTTTACCTAACCTTTCGTCTTTCTTAACCTCACAAACAAATATAGACAAGTAGCACTCAAAATGCAAGAGACAACTCTTGCAATTTTTAAATATTCACATATAGATAAGGAAATCCAACTTTTGCCCGAGTTTGTGTTTGGATACAAACCCTAAACCATAATGATTTATCACGGTCATTAAACCTTGGGCACCTTTGTAAGGTGGATTTGTATTTTTTAAAATAAAAGAAATAATGAAAAGCTAGATTACTTTCTAAAATTTCATTTAAAATTTATCAACATAAATACATAATGCCCTATTTTTCAAAACAAAAAATATATCTATTTTGTTCAGTTTCAGTTACTTATATTTTATTTGTTCCTATTCCTAGTGTTTAATTTAACCATCGATTTAAACCATACTATATTCAAGATTTATCAAATCATCGATTTGAACTATAAGATACCTCAGATTGACCAACAGAATTCACATCACAAAAGACTAAATAAACAAAAAAAAACATAGAAGATGACACAAACCTCGCCGGTGTCATGCTCCACCACGTGTAGATCATATTTAGACATTGCAACTAGTATGGCATCCCTAGCCCTCCAAAAGATATTTTTGTTAATTTGATTCCAACATATTTTCTGCTCCATTTGGAGTGGATTCTCTTGGCCAATCTCGTTTAATTTAGCACAAAATAATAATTTAAATATCTAGCTAGCCAATCTGCGAGCAATGAAACACTGGAATAAGCACAACAAACAAATAGCTCAAAATCGTGTACCAATATACACATTATATCTTTAGGGAAAAAAAGTGATACTAGCTTCATTTTTTCTTATTTAAATAAATTAGTTATGGATTTTTATTTTAGAAAATAAAGCTGTTATTGTCAGAAAATACAAAGTCAAATTTGTCCAGTGTTGATAGTTCAATGGTCAAAGATTTCTGATTTTAAAGTTGCATGGCCAAAAACAAACTCGATCTTCTCTCAAACTTTTACCTTGCACAGAATCACTGACTGCTGTTAATCTCAATTGGAATCGCGGGACCAGAGCACTGACTGCTGTTAAGCTCAATTGGAATGGCAAGGATGGGAGGACAAGTGCATAACAGTCAACAAAATCATGACGTTCGACCCCATACACTGTAAGATCATTAGCTACGCCAATCATGTGGTCTCTACAGCAAAAAAAAAAAAGAAAAACTCTTCTTCAGGCTCAGATTGATTTCCGGTACATCTAATGTGTACAAGAAACAACTTGGGCCTCTGCAGCAAAGGGCGAAATGCTTCTCATGCCGAGGGAGATCCCTATCTGCAAAAGAAACAATAGTTCCATTCATAAACCGAATGTCCAGAAACATTAGTCACATACACTAAGAAAATGCCTTAGGAATAACAAAGTTTCAGAACGCTTTACGTGACATTAGTACTCTGACGTTAGTCAGAAGCTCCAACGTAGCCATTGGTGGTATTCGAAATTGTTCCCAGTTGTTTAGTGGCCGCCATTATTAGACCTGCATAGTTCCAAAACAAATAATATCAGTCCTGCACAACAAAATTTAGACAGCAGGTAAAAACTAAAAAGAACTCAGACACTAGTACATGTCACCAAAGAAGCTTTGTAATGCAAATTCTACTAGACCAGTTGTAACTTGTCAGGGGTCTAAATATTTCACAACTTTTTATTTCGATTTTGCAAGTTATTTTTTCAATAATAGAAAAGGTTTTCACCTGTAAAAGGAGGTGAAGGTCTTCGAGGCCTTGATTTGAACTCTGGGTGGAACTGAACACCTACATAGAAGGGATGATCTTGTAGCTCCACAATCTGCTCATAGGTGCAAGCAGGTTCAGGCTTTTGAAAAAGAAATTCAAGACCCAAGAATAGCATAGGCTATTTGCTTAGTACCTCCATCCGCTTTCGACTTTCATCACAACCAACAAAATGAAGACCAGCACTTTCAAGCATGGGAACAAAAGAGGGATTGACCTATAATAAATAAAAACAGAACAAGTAATCAGTTCCAAGCATATGATTACAATGCACATAAAAACTAATAACTAACAGGATGTTTAGTAACAAAAATTGATGGCAAACCTCGTATCTATGACGATGACGCTCATCTACATGTGGAGGACTTCCATACCTAAAGTTTCAATCAATAGTCCAAGTGAGAATATGCAATATATTTTTATACAGGGCAAATGTTAAAGATGATCTATACCAGGGGCTTGCACCAAATCTCGACTAAACAGAAGCCACATTCAAGAATGTGATAGGCAAAAATATATTCACTACCAAGTAAGGAAAGCTCTAGATAACACAACTACATTAGGAATTTATCAGTGTGGATGAAAATGGATCGAGTTTCCAAACAAGCTAAATTCAGTAATGCCAAAGAAAATAGTATGATATTGACCAAGAAAGAATCAAGGCCCATACAGTTTTGATGTAAGACAATCAGGTTTGCTGAAGAATGTTCTCCTGCAGCCTAACCTCATCGTGTTTCCCATATGTGTTTTTGAAACCTGAACAGTTCATTGTCAAGGAATTAGATCAAACTTTTCAAAGTCAGCTCTTCCATAAACTTAACAGAAAAGAAGTACCTCAGGCATGTACATAACAACATGATTTGGTGTATCCTTGTTAAACTCTTCACTGTCTGCATCTACCAGGCCCAGGACCTAGAAAAGCATAATAATAAAAGTAAGAATCTATATGGATAGTTTTTAAGTAAAAGAAAACAATGGAAGCATACACACATGTCTGGACATCTCAATCACTGATATCTGCATGCCCAAGCAAATACCAAGGTATGGAACTTTATTCTCACGAGCATATTTTGCAGCCAATATCATCCCTGAGATTCCACGATCCCCAAATCCTCCAGGTATCAAAATGCATGATGAACCCTACAATTTTCAGATTTTATTAATATTAACTTTCAAAATTGACTTTGCATATTTAAAATAGTAAAGAAATGCAATTCGCATACTCACTTTAAGAGTTTCCCAGGCTTCAGCATGGGCATCTGGTGCCTATTGAAAAAATTGTCATCAAGGGATGCAGTAACACATACAAAGAAAGGACAGGAACCATAATAGGAGGAAACTGAGTGTAGGTACAAATGTGAAACTGAAAGTAGAAAAAACTTGATACAGAAAACTTGAGCTAAGAAAGATACAAATGCTATGGGGTACTGAGATACTTATCAGAACACCCGAAAAAATTGAACTGAAACATTGTGGTGCTATTACTGCAGTTTTCGAATATTAGAACACATGGCTAGTGGCTTACTGTTTTTGCAGTTGCATCTTCAAGGTCCGAAGCTGCAATCCACTGGATAGATGGCTTTAACGAACAGGCAACACTGGCATGTAAGAGAGCCTGGAATAAATTAAGATATGCACAAACGAATTAGAAAAAACATTTTTCATGTATAGTACATGAACCCAAATTGCATCCACAGTAAAAACACATTGTGGCAGCTCAAAACCTTAGTTATTTAACAATTATTAGAGAACAATTGTCTATACTCTAGGAAACCATGAAACTGTAACTATAATAATTATTTCACCACATAAAATATATAACTTAAATTTTGTGCTTGCAGACTAATTATCACAATTGGCAAACTACTTAACTTCGCCACTGATATGTAAGGATCATCTGTACCAACCTTCACCACTGATAGGTAAGAATCTGTCAGATTAGTATACTTCCCAACCAAAGCAACTTTAACCTGCATAATAATGATATTCGTTCAGACTTATTCTGCACCAACGAAAGAACCGACAATCAAATACTATTACAACACTAACAGAGTTCTTGAGGTTGTCATACGACTCAGCCATATCTGTCCAATCTCGTAACTCAGGTGGTCCAGCAGATCTATAAAATAAAATCCAAGATGATATTGCTCCAAGATAATAGTAACCACAAGACCATAACACAATACATAAAAACAGGGTATGCCATTGCAATAAATACAATGTAATCATCTCAATCAATCACACCAAACAAGTCTGAGCAAGCCTTTCAACATTAATTAGGATGATTTCAAAAAAGGGCGTACCCAGTGCAGAGAGCTCCCGCTCTGTGCGGGGTCTGGGGAAGGGTGTCAGTGGCAAGCCTTACCCTCACTTGTGCAATGCGAGGAGACCGCGACTCGAACCCGTGACCTTCCGATCACAGGCGCTAAGACTCTACCGCTTGCACCAGGCCCGCCCTTCAATTAGGATGATTTCAAACATAGTAAAAAAAATTTGGAAGTTTAAACCAATCATCTGCCAATATTGGTAATATATGGTTTCTCAACAGTATATGAATCACTGCTTAAAAACAACTGTCTAGCCCACCTAGGTGCTAGGTAGTTGACATAACTGGTGCCAAGCACTTCTAAAAACACTGTTATGGGTAAATTACAAAACATTCCACGTGCAGACCATCCTAATACTCTACATGCATTGATAAACACTGATTTTCAGTAATTGTCTGACTCACCTAGCAAGGTTTAGTTGTTTGATTACAGCTTCATGAGCCTTTTGGTTCTGCAAAACAGTACTTGTCAAAATTAGCAACACTAAATGCAATACATATATAGACTCAAGGCTAAGGTTTTAGTGAACGTTGCAACTCACTCTAAGAATAAGTGGGACATGCCATAAATTTGGAACATCATGGATGTTAAGTATGTTCTCGACCTACAGCAAGTAAGACAGAATGTGAGTCAAGAAACACTGAATAAATGGCATTATTTAATCATGAAACATACCGGGACATGGCAAAATTGTGAAAGCTTCTCTTTAACAGATCCTATTAGTGGCTGAAAGAACAGATAACATAGCTCTGATTAGAAAGGAACGCTTAAATACAAATTGGACAAGAGAAGAAAACGATTTTACAACAACAAACACATCAACAGAAAAGGTACAGGTACTAAGCCAAGGCAGATTAAAATGAGCTAATGACTGCTTGGAACAAAATTGATTACAGAAAATGAAAAACAAATTCAACAGCAGACTTGTTGTCACAAATATCCAATACATGGGAAAGATTTTCAGAAATCTATATAATGATGAAGGAAAATAAGGCATATTCTAAAGAATCGGCTATTAGTTATTAACTTTTTTTTACGTCTTTGCATTACCTGCGCTGACCGGCATGCTAGAAGATCAGGAGTCAGACCCAAGGCTCTCAGTTCTCGTACACTGTGTTGTGTTGGTTTAGTTTTCTACAAAAAAGGGAAACAAGAACGTCAGATTCCTAGTACCAGTAACTATGTCATGATAAGACTTGAAAAGTGCATGCAATGAGATTGTTTCCCTCATTTCAGAATAGAAGAAGCGGTAAGCAGAATTAATCATCATCGCTAAAGGAATAATTGTTTACCTGCTCACCAACTACACCCAATACTGGAACAAGGCTAACGTGTATGAGGCAGAAATTCTCCTTGCCTAGAACACGCATATCAGAGTATGAGTCATATTCATGACAGTCACTAACAAGAAAGATGTTTTTACTTCCAAGAAATGTAAAATATGTGAATGCTACATTAACATAAAAGAAATGGCAGTGCAGAGAGTGTACCCTAATCTATGGGTCCAACTGTTCCCAAATAAATAGATAGAAAAAATAGACCATGAGAAACAATACAAGTCTCATAAGAGTGTAAATTGTAACACCAAAACATATCGCAGCAACCATAAAATGTGGAATTGAAATGGACAACCCAGCTATACCAAGAGAAAAGGATAATTGACGCAAAGCTTCAATGAATGGCATTGACTCAATATCACCTGAAATAGGAGCAAAATCAATTTATCTGCTACATTAATAATAATTACAGAAGTGTGAAATCGTAAGATGTCATAAAACCCTACCTACAGTGCCTCCCAATTCAATAACACAAACATCAGCTGGACGAGTCTGCCCATCCACAGGAACTGAAGACACGGACTGGATCCACTGTTTTATTTCATCCGTGACATGAGGAACAACCTGGATATTCGAAACCAAAGGTGTTTCAGATTTTGCCATATGGGCAGTCCATACAATGCAACTCGAGCAATAAGTGCCACAGAAGAATTACCTGTACAGTCTTTCCAAGATAATCACCCCTTCTCTCCTTCTCAATGACAGACTGAAACAAGCAGAAACTATAGGTTTACAATCTCAAATGAGAAAAAGGCAAGCATTCCCTTGAGGCAGAATATACTCACCTGGTATATCTTTCCGGTGGTAATGTTGTTATCCCTCGTCAGGGTAACATCTATGAAACGCTCATAATTCCCCAAATCCAAGTCAACCTACAAATACCACATGTTAGGCCTTGTTTAGATTGCAAGTTTTTTCACTCTCTCTCCATCACATCAAATCTTTGGACACATGCATAGAGTATTAAATGTAGATAAAAAAAATAACTAATTACACAGTTTGATTGTAAATTACGAGACGAATCTTTTGAGCCTAGTTACGCCATGATTGGACAATAATTGTCAAATACAAACGAAAGTGCTACAGTGCCAAATACTGATTACTAACCCCAATCTAAACAAGGCCTTAGATAGACACCACCGAGACTGCAAATTCAAAGAACGTGTATTAAATGCAAGTATTAGGGAGCTGTACCTCTCCACCATCATCAAGAACAAACACCTCACCATGCTCAAAGGGGGACATTGTGCCAGCATCTGTGTTCAAGTACGGATCTACAAAAACAAGAGACCAAAGTAGTAAGATAAATGCTAGACCAAAGCCCCTCCAAACGATTTAACATCCACATCCATAAGCAAAACATTTTGTACTGTAAAATCACACAAAAAAATAACCCTCTGATTTAGCCTTTTTTGTGATAGCAAGAGATCCTAAAGGTGCCTCCACTTTAGACAGAATTCTTTAAAAAGCTCATCACAGAAAGCCATTCAGGAGTCTAAAAGCATAGGTACAGACGTACAGTGCACCATGCCAATAAAACGACAATCGAAGGCCACGCCACAGCACTAAAAGGGCCAACAGCAACCTTCACAGTGGAACGAAAAGTTTACCTAAAAAAGCTCAACAAAGGGACTGGTACTAGTGAGACAGCAACAAGCCTTCAAAACCTGACAACGAACACGCACGGGCTCATCAATTCATGATGTACCAACAATTTTAATTTTCATTTCACTAGAAGACAAGGTGACAAGTAACTGGAAACCCAAACAAGGAAATCTTTGACTACTACTCATCATTGCCCCCAAATTCCACCAAGCCGCAGTAAAGAATTGCGATTGAGTACTGACCACTGAGACTCCAAGCAGAACCCAACAAACTCCCGCTTTTGCCGCCCAATTACCTAATCCGGAAAAGATTAAGATTAAACCCTAGCAGAATCACGGAAGCCGGTCGCATTCATCACTCCAATATAACACACTCCTATCTCGCGCCGACCACCCCCGCCCAAAACGGCTCTAGGGTTCTAAGGGTCACCAGTAGGGGAACACCTCGCAAAAGCCGCGGAGCGCATACCGATCTTGATGCAGGTGACGCGAAGCCCGCAGGCCTTGAGGACGACGCCGATGCTGCTGGCGGTGACGCCCTTGCCGAGGCCGCTGACGACGCCGCCGGTGATCAGCACGTACTTGGTCGGGGCACGACCCTCCTCTTTCGCCGGCGCCGGCGGCGAAGGCGAAGACATGGCCGCGCGCGGGAGGCCGGAGAAGGGGAGGGGATGTGCCGAGGTGGGAAGGGGGAAGAAGAGTTGGGAAGAAGAAGGCAAACTGTAGCAGCAAGCGCTCGCCCCGTGTATCTGTTTGCTAGCGGCCCGGATTTTTCGGTGCCGCTGTTTGGATCCTGGGCCTAGGGTTTGGACCGATTAGCTGGGTGGCTCTGGTTCTGAGACTCTCTCCGACAACGTCACCTAAGATACAAACTTATTTCACGTTTAGATAATGTTATACATAAAAGGTTCGATATTCATTTTGGTCTTCTCCAACAATATAATCTAAAAAAAAGTCTTTTCTGCAAATAAGTCTTTAAGAGAGATAATACTTATATTTAGGTTGTGAGTCTGCTATAACCAAAAATACATTTCACATATAGATAATCTGTTGGCCTATCATTCAATATCCATTTTGGATTTGATATGGGTAAGCTTTTGGAGACCGTGATATGGACCTGTTGGACATGGGCCTGGGATTTGGAGCTCTTGGGCCTGACTGTTTGATGCTGGGAAAAAAGCTTTTGGGGCCAGTTTAGAACGTGAGCACGAAAGTCAAACTTGAGTTTTTTCATGAACATGGGCCCAGTTTATTAGATCTGATACTAGTACACTAGTGTGATCCACGAATATTCACACACGTCCTAAATTTTTCAAAAAGAGTATTTGAAAGACGGGGACGTGTGTGGTTTCACGAGGAAAGAGACACACAGCCCTCGCTTTCTCAGGCGCTAGTTGAAGTTGAGCCATGGGACGCCACACGAGGAAAGAGACGTATCAAATCAAATTCAACAGACGTGTGACCATGAGAAACCTTGCGAGCGGAAGCTCAATTTGAGCAGAACTTTTATAGTCGAACCCAGAACATGAGATGCTATCAAGACTCTTGTAACCACTAGAGTACAGGTCCTTTTATAGGTAACGGCTATTACTAACATGTGCTTTCATGCTTTTAGTTGGTTTGGTTTGGGTTCCCTCGACCCTGTCAAAGCATCTCTATAAAAGTTTGTTAATTCCACTCTCATAATCTCCTCCAACAGTTCACTATTCTAGCTCTCAACCTATGAGTACTTTTTTTCTTAAACTCCATCACCTCAACAGTTATCGTCTTAAGGTTCACCGGAATTGAATCTCTGGACACTATTTTCAATACTGAGAAGTAGAGCAGATAATGAAAAATTCATTTTGTAGGATGTGAGTTAAGGTGCTAGGGATAGCAATCGCGATCGCACCTGCCGCTGCCCGGAAGGTTTGCTGACGGTGAAAATGACATGCTTTTACACATTGAAAACGTCATCAACATGCATCGGAATAAGAGAAAATGAACATAACAAAGTTCCACATGTACATGGAGTAGTTCTTTGCATAAAGTAAGGTGGGGCCAGTGAAGACACCCCCATAGGGTCGAGTGACCCTAGGTGGGGTCAGTTGGGTGGGCTCCATGGCCCCCCAATCCTAGTGAAATCCAAGAAACACAATCATAAAGTGCTTTCAACCCTTGGAAGCACTTTGTGTTTTTTTCTAGATGGCTCATACACACGTTACATGGACCAAGCTGCCCCCCCCCCCCTATGGGTTGCCCGACCTTGGGAATTCCCTCATTGTCTTTCTCTGGTTAACATGTAAACTAGCATACATTTGAAGGATCTCCACCTTTGATTATGTGGTGGTTTGATCCAAAGGGTGAGGTGAAGATCACTTGGATGCACGGGCCACCTTCAAACACTATATATAGGTACCCTGTACCCCCGTCACTTCCAAGACATGAATACCACTTGAAGAATAGAAGCTCCACCAACGCCCCCGCGCTCATTCCCCGCCATGGAACCCGAAACCCGCGCGCCTTCTCCCTGTCGTCGACCCCACATCGTACACTGCCCTTGCTCATTGTACGCCACCCACCCCGTGCTCGCTCACTCGTGAAAAATATTTTCGCAACAACATTTTTTTATCGGCAGTTCATTTAAAAAATCGCTTGTGATAAGTTTCCACCGTCGATTCATAAGTTGGTGGGTGTAGTGGCCATTGAAACCAACGGTGAAAATGATTATCATCGTAGACTAGTGTCCTAAGGTTTTCACTGTTAGTTCATAACCCGAGGCGATAGCGCAACGTGGACTAAATGAAAGTGGTGAACTAAATTTTGGCGCCTATATTTCATTTCTAGAGGACCTTCTCTTATGTCAACCACCCTGAAAATGCAAGATTTTTGCTGTGCAAATAAGTTCGGAACTTGTCCAAATTTGAACCAAGATGAGACAAAGTAGAGAGGGCCCCTTCCTTACTGCTTTATATACAAATTGTAGATCTCAACGAGATCTATAATGTCATATTTGATAACTTTATCATTTAAAATTGTTTAGAGGCCTAATTTTCATTATAAGTTCTTAATTTTTTTAATTCAAAATTTTGACTTTTGTGAAAAAGCCTCGGATAGAGACATGCTCTATAAAAAAGTTGCAGTACCTAATGAGATCTAATTAAAACATCATAGTTGTCATTCTTTTTCATTTAAGATCATTTACTAGGCTCAAATGTTTTTTTAAATAGATGCCATGAGTTCGAATCCTCTATAATGCATGAGTGCGGACACTATGTTTCGACAAAAGGGCTACCACTACTTTGATCAGCGAAAAATAATTTCCTCAACAAGGTGGTTAGGCCAAGAACTAATTAACTCGACTTCTCGACCTCAGCGGTCTTTTGCAACACGAATATCATATGATGAGTGCATGAAAAATGCTCGCGTTGTATGTTGTGAGCTTGCACTGCTACTTCCATTGTTCCATACACGCATGCATTGGCCATCCATGCCCAAGCATGTGCCCGCGATAGATACCTGAAAGCTGAAAGAATGAACATACGTATGCGCCCGTATAGTCACATGAAAGAGACATGAACCGTAGTAGGTAACAGAATTCAGTGACGACTCTACCTAATAAAGCGTACGACGAACATACGTAGTACGCCCCCGTGCCGTCAGAGAAGAGAAGCTAGCCTGCGCGCATGAAATAAGCCTTCGGGCCCCAGTGCATTGCATGCGACGGGAAGTCTCAGAAGCCGAGAGATTTTGAATTGAACGAAGCCGATTCATATTGCGGGGCCGTTTGGTGCGGCTCATGGCTCCGGCTCCCTCTGTCATTGCACTGTAGAGCACTGTGGGATCCTGTGCATCCCTGTAGCTCTTGGCGAAATGGCTCGGGCTCCGTCTCGAAACAGCAGCAAATGAAGAGGAGCCGCCGGAGCTGCGTGGGGGTGGCTCCGTCAGGCTCCTTCATAGTGGCTGCACAGTACTGCTGCGGGTTTCACATAATGCACCGGATGCTGGTCACGTAGTGATCGGACGTTGGGGTCCTGCGTCCGGTCAATGGAAGCAGTGAAGACGTTGGCGTCGGTTTTTGACCGGACGCTAGGTCACTTTATGACCGAACGCATGGTGGGTGCATCCGGTCCCGCTGACGTGGCAGCACAGAGAAGAGGAGAAAGAACCGGACGCTGATTCTGCGTCCGATCGTGACCAACCGGACGCGTCCGGTCGCGAGTGGAACCTTACTGGAAGTGACCGGACGCTGGAGTCCTGCGTCCGATCGTGATCAAACTGACACGTCCGTTCATGAATGAAACCTCTCTGGAAATGACCGGACTCGACAGAGGTGCGTCCGGTCTTGGCACTGTGCTGCGTCCGGTCATCACTTGACCGTTGAGATCAAGCGACTGAGGTTGAATGGAGGCGACACGTGGCGTGCATCCGTTGACCGGACGCTGGACCGGGTGCGTCCAGTCGATCTGATCGGAGGGTCCGATCACCCCGAGCAGTGTCCAGTGAAGGGGTACAACGGCTCTATTTCGTGGGGGCTTCTATTTAAGTCCCATTGTCGGCTCAAGCTCACTCTCTTGGCCATTTACATTGATATAGCAACCTTGTGAGCTTAGCCAAAGCCCTCCCACTCATCTTCCATCATTGATTCATTATCTTTGTGAGATTGGGAGTGAATCCAAGTGCATTGCTTGAGTGTTTACATCTAGAGGCACTTGATGTTCGTGTTTCGTTGTGGGATTCACTTGTTACTCTTGGTGGTTGCCGCCACCTAGATGGCTTGGAGCAGCGAGGATCATCGAGCGGAGGTTGGTGATTGTCTCTGGCTCCGATCGTGGTGATTATGAAGGGTTCTTGATCTTTCTCCGGCGGAGAGCTAAAAGGTACTATAGTAAATTGCTCGTGGCTTGTGTGATCCTCATCTTGTGTTGGTTGTGTGGCACCCTATTGAGGGTTTGACGTGTGATGTCAATTAGCGTGTGAATCTCCAAGTGAGTGAATCGCCACAACGAGGACTAGCTTGCCGGCAAGCAAGTGAACCTCGGTAAAAAATCATTGCGTGATCATTTGATTCCGAGGTGATTGGTATTTATTGGTATTCATCCTTGTGATTGATTGGTTCATTACTCGACTCGGCGGTATAACCATCTTGATCTATCTCTTTATATTACCGTAAACTAGTTATCAAGCTTTTTAGTGTAGCTAGTCGTGAGAGCTTGTTAGTTTGGTTAGTGTGGCTCTTTAGTTAGCTTTTGAGAGCACATTAACTTAGTGTAGTGACATAGCCATTGTGTGGATAGAGACCATATAAAATAGAATTGGGTAGGTGGCTTGCAACCCCAAGTATAGTGCTAGCGCAAACTTCGCTTCGCCATCTTATTGACTAATTATTTGTCTTAGTGTTGTTGTAGAAATTCTAAATAGGCTATTCACCCTCCCTCTAGCCATTAGGACCTTTCAGATAAGCCATCCATAGGTGTCACGCGCGTCGTATTGTGCACGACTGACCCATCCTTGTTCCGGAGTTATTACTGCACTGTGACTTCGTGCTCCGCGTTCGCCTATGGTTCATGCCTGCTGTGACCCATGTCTTCCCATACTCTTTTCTGCGCTCTTGTCGGACCCTTGCCCTGCAGTCGTACTAGCCATTAATGGTCTCGGA